AATCTTGCTCCAGGACCGCACAGTCGTCTCCCTGCTCCTCCTTGGCTGCCAGGACAGGGCCACCTTGCATGGGCAGGCTCACACGGAGATGCGAAGGGAACAGATCGGTTTGGTAGTGTCTGCTTTGCTCTGTGGGGTTTTTTTTTTTTTTCCTCTTGTCTGCAGCCATCCCAGCACCTCCCTGCAGCCTGGCAGCTCAGGACCTACCCCACGGTTTGGTGATTAAAACAAAGAAATTAAAACAAAGAACTCCTCAGCAGCATTGGCTTTCAGTATCTAGCAGGGGCGCGCCTTTAATCAGACAGAGAGACCCTGGTGGTACATACAGGCACACTGAGGGATGAAGAACAGATGCAATGGAGTCTGTTTTCAGATTTCCGTAGCAAGTGTGTGTCAGGAGCTGGCAGCTATGAAGACATGTGGCATATGCTGGGTATGTCTGTGCCGCGCCCTGCCCGGGAAGCTGTTTCTTTCGTGGGAGCTCCTCTGATGAGTTACAGACACCAGCAACGGCCAGAGCTGCTGTCTTGGGGATGCAGAGGAAGCTCACCTTGACCTTTCCTCCTTGGGGGCTCAAAACAGCTGGTGCTGCCCTGCAGCAGCCCGTCCAAGCGAGGAGTTGCCCACAAAGTCCCAGCTCCTCAGCACAAAGCTAATCCCAGGAAAGACGGGGTGGCAGGAGGGTGGTTACCGTCCACTGGGTCACGCCAGCGATTCGCAGCCGGGCATTTTCCTCCCGTGCCCAGCCCAGCAGCCTCAGTCCTGCAAGAGCTTGTGTTTTACAGTCGAGCTCTCGGAACAGAGGTGAACAAAGAGAGTCCCGGCCGCCGCGCGAGCGCGCAGCTCGCACAGATCGTAGTCGTGGGCCCACTCCACGCTGCCCCACCGTCGAATCTGAAGGAGGAACGCGAGTTCAGTTCAGAACTGGGTTATCCACAGAGCTGCTCAGCAACTCTCAGCCTCCCTTTTCAGGTTTGTGAAACACGGGCAACCTCCCCCCCAAGAGCTGCGCTGATCTCCGACTGCTGGGGCAGGGAGATGTGTAGGTGAGCTCAGTGGAAGGCCATGCTTCATCTTTACTGGGGTCTGCCAAGCCCCTTAAAGGCAGATTGAAAAGATTCCCATCAACTTCAACCACTTTTGGGTCAGGAAGACCTTCACACCAGGCCAGTTTCCAGCAAGCAAGTTATTAGCTTGGCGTCTACCAAGGCCTCCAGGCTGGATAACCCACAGCAAGAGCAGCCAGCCACGACTTTGCACTTCAGATGAGAGAGGGAGAAAAGCAGCCATCTGGGCTCTGCAAAAAGAAACTGGCAGCCCTGGGAGCATTCTGGGCTGTTGCACCCATGGTGTTGCTCGACAGCAGCACACTCCAAACCCTCTCAGACGGGGAGAGTGGCAGAGCGGAACCTCTCCTGCAATAGTAGGCACTTCCCTTGCCGGTTATTTGTGGTGGGAGATGCATTTGTCATGCTGAGGTTATTGCTATTTGAATTATAGGGCTGGTTTATAACGTAATTTACCTGGTATTCTTCCTCCAGGCGAGACAGAAGCACGGCTTTCTCTACTGTAATGTGCCTGTCAATCAGACCCATGGACAGAATCAGAGATTTCAGCTGGGTGATTACATATTCTATACCTGGAAGAGAATAACCCAAAACAAACAAGATTCATGGTTGTTTTCTGCAGCATTACAGCAGCATCTTCACATGCTCTGAAGAGACAGCCAGGATGTGGTTGGTACCTCCTCAGGGAGGCCACCAGGCCAGCGATCCTCCCACTTACATCTGGGCACTTAAGCATCAGATCTGCAGCTAACAGCAGACACAAAGCGCTGTTCTGGCCACTGTCACCGCAGGGACAAAGGCTATGCCTTGGAAACCGCCTCCTTTTATTCTGCCACAAACCCTCCCTGTGCAAAGGGAAGAAATACCCACCCAGGCCTGAGTATTCTGGAGCTCAGCTGCAAGTCCAGGGTGAGAGGGGCTCGTATAGCGTTCGGTGCTACAAGAGCTGTCCACATCTATAACCGCCCCTAGAAAAACATCCTGCCAATGTGTGGGGTTTGCTGTGCCCTGGGAGAACGGTGTCAGCAAAGGACACGGCCGCTGGGCTCGGCTGATACAACAGCAGAGCTCTTTCCTGCCACACCACCAGCTACTGGCTTGCAAGACACCCCTCTTCAGGGGAGGGGAGCGGGTGCCCGGTGGCTGAGGGACCTGAGCAAATCCCCCAGGCAGGCACAGCCAGGAGGAGGAGGAAAGGAGGGCTCAAAACTCTGAGCTGCTGAGCCCTCACGGTTCAGCTCAAGCTGACAGGAAACGGAGGTGCCCACACACGGACACGAACTGAAGTCTGACTCATCCTGCACTGCCAGTCTAGGCCAGACCTGGAATTTCAGCTCTAAAGTCAACCAGCTGCCCAGAGGCTTCCCCTTCCCCAGGGGAGGTACGTGCCTTTCCCTTCCACCCTGCCCATCCATATTCGGGGGAAAAAAGAATGATTCACAAAAAAAAAAAAATATCTTTACGGGGGCAATGGAAAGGTTTTGCAAGCCCCGTCCCACGAATCAACACTGGTAACTTCCCTTAGCTGCTACGCTGGTGTCTTCTGGGTTTCACCATCTGCTGCTCCTTCAAGTCTTGCACTGGAGGACTCGAGCAAAGCAAACATTACTTCATTTCTTTACCTTTAGGTGTCATTCAGCAGTAACAGGCAAGATCAAGTGGGCTATAAGGGTGAGGGCAGTGCACTTGGGAGTACTAAACCCCATTCCTTTTCCTGGTAACAAAGCTGGGGACTGAATCACTAGATTATTTGGCATTAAAGAAGTTATTTGTGCTAAGGCAGAGCAAAGAGCTCGCAGGCCGGTGCTGTCAGACCCTGAACACTAGTGGCACTGAAGGGAGAGCCCCTACCTGTAACAAACACAGCCCAGGGACTGGCCTGGAGATTTATAAACCTCAACACTCCGATTATCTCAGCAGGAGAGGAAAAACCATTACAGTCCTTCCCCTCCCCCGTGGAGAGAAACCACCTCCCTCGCTGGCCCAGCCTGAGCAGAGGGCTCCCCGACCCAGCCTCTCTCACCTTGCAGGGCCCACATGTTGTAGGATGCCAGATGGCTGACGAAGGTCTCCTTGGTGCTGTCTGGGATGTTTGGCCCCAGGATGCTGGTCGAGGAGCCAATTGCCACGTTGTACCTGGAATGAGCACCCAGGCCCCTTAGAAAAAACACGGAGCTCGTGGACCTTGTGGCTCTGACAGTCACGAGCTCCTGGCCTCAGCAGACAGACACATCTTTGACCTCTTACCTTTTCTCAGCCCAAGCCACAACAGGATCCCATTCATTCTTCTGCAGCTCTACCAAGGCGGCCGGCTCCTCCACACGATAGCTGGGACATTGCAGAACAAAACCACACTGGATGTTCACTCTCAGGCTGCCAGACTTGCTGGAGCACACCCCTGGGAAGGAAGCCGCCCCCCACCAGACCACAGCAAGGACCTGCTCTCCACCCAGGCAGCAGCAGCAGCGATTGGGAACAATCCCCCCAACTCTTCCCCAAATTTAGAGCTTTTTGTTGCTCCAGGAAGGACATTTCTATCTCACTACAAAATTGCAGGTAGTCCCAAGCCAGCCATGGGATGCAGCAAGGTCTAGGATCCAGTATCCCACTGGAACTCTTTACATGGAGCCCCTCCTCCTGCCTCACCTCACTCCCCGCTGCCAGCCCGACCAAAGCCACCAAGGCAGATGGGGGAGTCCTGTTCCCCCCTCCCCAGAGGAGCTGCGCAGCTGCCAGGGGACACCTCAGAGGCTGGGACTGTGAGACAGGAGCTTGGGCACGAACAGGCTTGATCCTGCAGCCCACAGGGACTTTAAGGAACGCAGGGCATTTTGCTCCTGGTACAAGTCATCTGAGCTGCCTGAACTGGCACAGGAGCACCAGGGACTGGGCTGACAGATTCCCCCAGGCCTTTAAAGACTTTTTCTTTTCCCCAAAGAGATCTTAATTTCCTGCTGTTGACACCCAGAGGTGTCCAAAACACAGTTTAACCCCATTCTCCCTCAAACCTACGCCCTTCAGGTTGGACTCGGTCTGCAGACGCAGGACTGACCTAAACTAATTCAAACCCTTGGGC